ACTTCAGACCATTTCCTCTGGTCCTGTGAGGCGCCCAGAACTGAACACAGTACTTGAGGTGAGGCCTCACCTGTGCCAAGTTCAGAGGCACGATCACTTCCCTACTCCTGCTGGCCACACTATTCCTGATAGAAGCCAGGATGCTGTTGGCCTTCCTGGCCACCTGGGCACACTGCTGGCTCATGTTAAGCCGGCTGTCCACCACCACCCCCAGGTCCTTTTCTGCTGGGCAGCTTTCCAGCCACTCATCCCCAAGTCTGTAGCGTTGCCTGGGGCTGTTGTGACTGAAATGCAGGGCCCAGCACTTAGCCTTATTGAACCTCGTCACATGAGCCTTGGCCCTTTGATCCAACCTGTCCAGATCCCTCTGTAGAGCCTTCCTACCCTCAAGCAGGTCAACACTCCCACTTAGTTTGGTGTCATCTGCAAAGTTACTGATGGTGCACTCAATCCCCTCAGATCATCAGTAAAGATATCAAACAAGACTGGCCCCAGAACTGAGCCCTGAGGGATACCACTGGTGACTGGTCACCAACAAGATTTCACCCCATTAATCACAACTCTCTGGGCGTGGGCATCCAGCCAATTTTTTATCCTGTGAAGAGTATACTTGTCTATGCCATGATTCGCCAGCTTCTCCAGGAGAATGCTATGGGGGACGGTGTCAAAGGCCTTACCAAAGTCAAGGTAGAGAATGTCCACAGCCTTCCCCGCATTGAGAAGGCGGGTCACATGATGACAGAAAGAGATCAGGTTGGTTAAGTAGGACCTCCCTTTCATAAACCCATGCTGGCTGGCCCCGATCCCTTGGCTGCCTTTATCTTCTAATGCTGGGGAAAGCTTCACTTCTAGAAGACTTTAGTGTCTGAATTAATGAAAATATTTACTTTAAAGCCAGCTAGGCTATGTGAGATTCAAAGTCTCAGTGGTTTCAAGCCTTTTCAGGTACAGGGACAAGGAGGAGCGAGGCCTGGGCATTTGACACAGGCTGCCAAAAGGATTCGTTCAAACCATGAATATCACGTTCAATATTAATTAGAACAGTTGTCTGTGTAGCTCTCTCTCCCTTGATGGAGGCAGTCCAGAGAACTCCTTGCCCCAGTGCTGGACCCCTGAGGCCTTCCTTTCCTCTGGAAGCCATTGCTCTAACAGTGTCTCACATTTGCTGTCCCCTGCTGGGAGTGCATGGCTTCCTACTGATACAATTGGCTGAGTATGATTCTTGTATATATTATATCAGTCTCAGGATTAATACTGGTTCTTTAGTACTGTTAATTATTTAGTCTTAGTCTATTAAATCTATTTATATTTCAACCTTCATGTTTCTTTTTGTTCCCTGATTCCCTTTTCTGGGTGAGGAAGGATCATCTGGTTATAGAATAATTGTCTAAACAACAATAAATTGTTATGGGCTTTCTCAAACCATAACACTGGCACAGATCCGAGTGTCCCAGGGCACCTTGGGTTCCCCTGGCCCTGCATCCCCCTTCTTATTTTCCCAGACTCAAACTTTCAGTTTCAATGGGTTCCTCTACTGCTCCCTTTCCCACCCCTGTTCCTGGATCCCCTGCCAGGGAGCCTTGTTGGAGCACCCATGAAAAGAGAGGGGAGGGGAAAGATTCAAACAGTGTGTGGAGGGGCAGTGTGGAGTGGGCTGTGCTCCTGAAACATGGCGGTACCCATCAAGGTGGTAACACTGTCAGGGCTCCAGATGTTTCTCATGCGGCTTGTCCTTCAAGTTCCTGGAAATGCTTTCCAGGGCTCGTTGCTGCATCGCCTTCCCAGGGCTCAAGGTGGTCAAGGACACAGAGCTGTTTGATGAACATCCCAAGAAAGGTGGAAGGAAGTTTTAAAATCTTGCATCTCTTCTGATGCTGGGAACCCCATGCTGATGCAGCATCAGGTGAGCCACCACTCATGGCACGTTGCAGGGCACATTGCACCAATCCCCCACCCTGGTGATTGCCACTTTTGTAGCCTTCCGAGATTGTGCTGAAATCTCTTAGAAGTATGGTGTTGTAGAGGGAAAGGCTGTTGCTTCATTTGAAAAGAAAGCCAAAGCTATTGCAATGACATCTTTGCTGCTGCGGGGTGGTTGATGACTCCAGGCATTTCCATGATGATTAGCTGTCTAAGTTGTTCCTTGTTGTGGGTTAACTCTATCAGGCAGCTAAGCCCCACAAACAATTAATTGCCCTCTTGCTGCAGACTGGCAGGTGTGGAGAACTTTCCGAGAAAGTAGGGCTTGATCAGACATAATGGTTACCTGGGAGGACAAGGCTGAAATCTAATGCCTCCCCTCTGCCACCTTCATTGTCCCAGCTTTTATTGCTGATCATGATGCCATGTGGTATGGAATATCGCTTCGATCAGTTGGGTTCAGCTGTCCTGGCAGTGTCACCTTGCAGCTCGCCCTCAACCCACTCACTTCGTGAAGCCATAACGGCCCCATATGCCGGGGGGTGTGGGCTGTGGCTGTGGCGGGGCGGGGGGCGCCGTGTCGGCGGGGGAAGGTGCTGGGGCCGTGGGCGCGCCCTGCCCGGCTGCCTGCGCTCTCCGTCCGCAGGGGTGTGGGCGCAGCTGAGGCTGGTGGAGGCCGGCGGAGGGCTGCGAGCGCCCGGGGACTCCGTGCTCCTCACCTGCCGCGGATCCGACTTCAATTTCGGGAACTATATCCTTTTGTGGTACCGTGAGGCTCCCGGTAGCAGACCCGTGTGGTTGTCCTTCATCAGCAGCCTCTCTGGTGTTATAAAGCATTATGCGGCAGAGGTGCAGGGTCGAGCCACAGTGTCCCGGAACAATTCCCAGTCCGAGTCATCCCTGTCCCTGCACGGCCTGCGCCTGCAGGACTCTGCCCGCTACTTTTGTGCTGTTCGCACAGAGACAGGAAATCCATCTGAGCTTTAACAGAAACCTCCTGGCAGGGTCCCAGCTCAGGGTCCCAGCCCAGGGATGTTGTGGAGTAGACGAAGCCATTGCTTGATCTGTTCCTGCCTCTTCCTCTTTGTCTCCTGGCCCTTTCTCAGATGTTAATACTTCTGGCCTGATGGCAAGAAAGGTCACGCTTACCAGGTGAAATGTCCTGGGTTTAGTGACACTTACTTTTCTTCTATTTCGGGGAAAACTGTACTTTTAGAAGACTCTAGTGTCTGAATTAATGAAAATATTAAAGCCATCCAGGCTCTGTGGGATTCAAGGTCTCAGTGTTTTTGAGCCTTGCCAGGTGCAGGGACAGGGAGCAGCGAGGCCTGGGCATTTGACCCAGACTGACCAACATGATTATTTCATACCATAATCATCACATTCAATATAAATTAGAAAAGTTGGCTGCGTAGTTCTCACTCCCTTGATGGCAGCGGTCCAGAGAACTCTTTGCCTTGGTGCCAGACCCCTGACGCCTTCCTTTCCTTTCCATTGCGATTGCAGTGTCAGACTTTTGCTGGCCACTGCTGGGAGTGCACAGCTTCCTACTGATACAATTGGCTGAGCATAATTCTTGTATATCAGATATCTTATATCAGTATCGAATAGAATAATTGTCTAAATGACAATAAATTGTTATGGGATTTCTCAAACCATAACACTGGCACATATCCGAGTGTCCCAGGGCACCTTGGGTTCCCCTGGCCCTGCATCCCCCTTCTTGTTTTCCCAGACTCAAACTTTCGGTTTGAATGGGTTGCTCTACCCTCTGCGGCTCCTTTTTCCACCACTCTTCCTGGATCTCCTGCCAGGGAGCCTTGTTGGAGCACCCATGAAAAGAGAAGGGAGGGGAAGGATTTTGACAGTGTGTGGAGGGGCAGTGTAGATGGCCATTGTGGAGTGGCTCATGTTCCCCAAACATGGCGGTACCCATCAAAATGGTAACACTGTGTCAGGGCTCCAGATATGTCTCATCATGTGGCTGGTGCTAGGGGAAGCTCTGGCTTCCTTCTGTGTAGGATGAGAATGGAGAAGGCCATTTCCCTGCTCTCCTGAGGAGCTCCAACAGCCTGCTCCCTGCTGAGTCCTGTGCACATGAGTTTTGGAGGATGAGCTGGAGTGCTTGAACCTGCACATGTGCCCCAGAGCTTCAGTGCCAAGCATATCCTGGATCTCCCCTGCCCCTTGCTGCTTTGACACTTGGGGGCATCTAGGAAGGCTTTGATGGGAATAGGCAGCTGGAGACGTGTCAGCACAAAGGAGTGAGTGGAGGAGTAGGGTGCTGGGCCAGAGTGGAGGAAACAGAAAATGGAGCATTTCTGCCCAACGATGCCCAGTGAAAGCAAAGCTGTGCTCAGGGGCTCACGTGCCAGAGCAGCACAGGAGCACCAAAGAACAAGAACCCCATAGGAGGACAACCTGACGTCCCCAGGCTTTGAGAGAAAAGTGGAGAGTGGCTCTACAGCAACATGTCACGTTTTGCCCACCAGAGGTTTTCCTGCCAAACGACCACACTGCAACACATCTTGGAAAGACCAGGTTGAGGATGGCAACAGAGGATCCAAGTCACACTTGCCTGTGAGAAGTCCTTGTCTGTCCTGTGTGCATTCAGAGCAGGATCAAGGACAGGAGAGTGGGTTCCTCACCATCCCATCACAGGAAGGACAAAGGTATTTGTCCCACATGATGCAAAACCTTCTTGATTCGGATATGAAAAATTGGAAAAAAGCTCCTTGTCGAAGGGGAAAAAGGGGGGGACTGAAATATGGTGACTCTTTCCTTGTGAGCCCTGATTCCAGCCACCATCTTGGTTCCTCTGCCCCTCTTAGTCGGATTCAAAGAGTAAAAACCTGTTTCTGGAAGTCATCGGGAAAGTGGCTGTGAAAGGCAAGATGCTCACTGCAACATCGCTTGCATGAACACTATCCCTGACCCTTCCTGAATATTGGAGTGATCATGGCGTGTTCTTCCTCACTGCAGCAGTCACTGGCCAGGTGGCCTTGGAGCAACACGTCAGGGAGCTGACCGTGTGAGAGGGAAATGGAGTCACCTTCCAGTGCAGCATGAGTGGGGGCAGTATGAGCAGCTACTACATGTACTGGTACCGGCAGGGACCAAGTGGCTCTCTGGAATGGATTTACCGGGAAGGTGATGCCTATGGAGAAGGTTTCAAGGATCGGTTTAAGGGATCAGTGGAGAGCTTCCAGAACAGATTCACCCTGCAGATCCAGGCAGCAAAGCAAGGGGATGAAGCAGTGTATTTCTGTGATGCCAGGCTCACCCTGGAGCAGCCCTGCAGCAGAGTGAACCCAAAACTGACTGAGAGAGATCAGAGACTTCTCAGCATTCCTTTCCAGCAGGTGCCAACAGAGGTTGGTGTCATGCAGTGGCAGGTGCAGGAAACAGAGCTTTGGTATGCTTGCAGTAAAAGGCGCTGGAGGGAAGTGTGGGTGAAGGTCTGAGACCGTTTATGATGCAGGAGGATCTATAGTGGGAACTCCAGAGACTGTATAGTGAAGTGCAGGTTATTGCATGTTGCCTGGGCTGATGTCCAAGATGGCCCAGTTTTTCCTCTGTGGCTTGGTTGTAGAGCTGTGGGATGATGGAGATGTGGTGCAGTAGCTCACAGGAGTAGCATTGTGGATGAAGCCAGGCTGTTTAGGAAAGAGAGATGGCAGCTCAGCATGGGTGAGATTGTGGTGGGTGGCTGCTATGGATCTGATCAGGGTGAAATAAACAAGGTGTGATGGGTTGACCTTGGCTGTCCACCAGGTGTCCACCAAGGCACTCTGTCAGTCTCCCTCTACCTGACAGGCTGCAAAACATACATTGCAAGGCTCTTGGGTCAAGAAATGGACCAGGAGGAGACCCAGCAATTACTGTCACAGGGCAAACAGACTCAGTTTGAGTAAACAAATTTAATTTATGATCAATTGGATCAGAGTTGGGAAATGAGAAATAAGAACAAATCTAAAACCACCTTCCCACCATTGTACCCTTCCTCCTGATCTCAACTTCACTGCAGGCTTCTCTACCTCTTCCGTCCGAGCAGCACAGGGGGATGGGGAAAGGGGGTTTTGGTCAGTTCATACCACCTCGTTTCAACCCCTGCTTCCTCCTCACGCTCTTCCCCTGCTCCAGTGTGGAGTCTCACCCTCGAGACAGAGCTCTTATGAACCTCATCAGCCATGGGTCCTTTCCACAGGGCTGATTTCTTAATGAAAGATTGTTCCACTGTGGATCTCCTGTGGGGCACAAGTTCTGCTAGATAATTGGCTCCAGTGTGGGCTTCTCTCCACAGGACCGCAGTTCCTACCAGGAGCCTGCTCCAGCAGGAGTTCTCCCCAAGGTCACAGCTGCCTTCAGGGTACATTCAGTTGCTCTGGTATAGGATTCTCCTCGGACTGCAGGGTGGAAATCTGCTCCGCTGTTAAACTCCATGGGCTATAGGGGCCAACCTGTATCACCATGATGTTCACCATAGACTGGAGGGGAATCTCTGCTCCAGTGGCTTGAGCACCTCCCCTCCCTCCTTCCTCCCTGACAGGCAGCATGGGTTTGTGATGTGGAAATCATGCTTAACCCAAATTAAAGCCTTCTACAAGGATGAGGAGAGAGTTGGAGGTTGTGTATTCTGAACTTAGTTAGGCTTTCAGCTCTGATTTCCCTGGAAACGTCAGAGACTAAGCTCTTTCCTATGGACTAGAGAAGTGCTCAATGAAATGGGCTGTGCACGTTCCTTGCTCCAGCCTTTCCCCCTGGACCTGGGATTCCTGAAGTACGTTTTTGCTTGTAAAGACTGAGGCAAATAGGTGTCGTGGTTTAGCCCCAGCCAGTACCAAAGAACCACATTGTCTTCTCACTCGCTACCCTGATCTCCCACAGAGACAGGACAGTGGGAGAATGAGAAGAAAAAGGCAAAACTTGTGGGTTGAGATAAAGGCAGCTTAACGGAACAGCAAAGGAGAGAGGAAAACACCACCAATAATACTGATAGAGGAATATACAAAACACAACCAATGTACAAACGCTCATCGACATGCCCCCTGCCCCAGCCAGCTCCCTGGCTCTAGACTGAGCATGGTGTCACGTGGTATCCAGTACCCCTTTGGCTAGTCTGGGTCAGGGAAAGTGGCTTTGTCCCTCCCAGTTCCTTGGGAAAATTAACCCTTCCCTGGTTAAATGTCCCTGGCTAAAACCAGGACATGCTCCACCCCTTATTCTATACCATCTGTGTCATGCACAAATCTTACATTTTCCAATGAATTGCCACCACTTTTCCCTGTCTTTGGTATACACATATATATACACATACAGATCTCATTCCCTCAGTCTATGGGCCATCCCTCTAAAATGTCTGTTGTGTTCATTTAATCCATGACTCTGAGCTTAGTGTGTCAGAACAGTCTCTCGGGGCAGGAGAGACAGTGTGTGGTGCCAGACTGTTCCATGCCATATTCGGATTTTGTGGCTGGTATATCTGAGAGTGGCTCGTGGCCACGGTCTGTGGGTTGAAATTGTCGATCTCGAGGAAGCTGCTGGACACCGGTTGCTGAGGTCAGTTCTGATCCCATCACTACTGCATGTTACTCCATTTCATCAAAGTTTATCTGTCCTCAGTCTGGGTGATTGTTACTGTTGTACAATCTTCCACACTTTGAACATCCAGCCCAGCACTGGCATTTGAGGTGCTAAGAGGAGCTGTGCTTCTGTACTAACCTCTTCTGAAGCAGCTCAAATCCCTTCATATGATGCCAATATCTGTTTCTCAGTTGGAGTACAGCTGACTTGGGATCCTCTGTATCCCCTACTCCTAAACCCTACAGGTTGACCTGATGCTTTCTTCCAGAGGATCCAGGTAGGGCCATTCTCCTTGACGCACAAGAAGCCTCCCAGAAGCAACCCGTCAGCTGGTCCAAAGGGGACTCATGTTATTCCTCATCCTTCCAAAGCCAGGCTCTGGGTTTGAGTACGCGCTTGAACAACCTCATCACATGTGCATGTTCCTGTGTCTGCGGCTTTACAGAAGAACCTTAAGATCTAACAGAAGACATAACGCCATAAAATCAGCAAACATACCCATGCTGAATAGCTCTCCCAAGTCCTCTGTGTGCTACAGTTTGACCGACCCATGTGACTTCTGTATCACTTTCATATTTCTCTCTCTTGACTTCCAGATTTGAATCTTGTGGCCAACAGAGGACAGCAAGTTTCCCTCAACACTCCTGTAAAAAGTTGTTTCTGGAATTCATTAGGGGAGTACCAAAGTCCGAGTTTCAGTTTTCCCCTTTGCTCTGGCACATGTCACCTGCAAAGACCAGAATGTGCCTGTGAGTGTTTCACAGAATCCAAGACAGGCTGAATTTGGAGGCACCTCAGGAGGGCATCCCGACCCTCTGCTCAAGCAGGGCCACCTAGAGGCACTTGCCCAGGACCATCTCCAGACAGCTTTGAAACATCTCCAAGCAGTGAGAACCAACAATGCCCTCTGGGCAACCGGCGCCACTGCTCGCTCACCCTGACCTACTGGCAATACTTTCTCTAGTGCATCCCAGGAAAACATTACCCTCCTTTGCTTGAACGGCACATTTCTAGTGAGATTGTCCGCAACAACCACTGGGTCCTTTTCTGAGAATATGCTTCCCTGCTGGGCAGCCCCCAGCCTGGCAGGGAGGTATTTCTTCCCAGGTACGGGACTTTGCTCTTCCCCTTATAGAACTGCATGGGGTTCCTGTCAGCCCACTTCTCCAGCCTGTCGAGGTTCCTCTGGATGGCAGCACAGTCCTCTGCGTGTCTGGTCCCTGCGGGAAAAGGGTTGGCAGTGAAGCCAGGGCGGGCTGGGGGTGCGGGGCCTGGGTCCTGCGAGGGGATAACGCGGGACGAGAGCCTGGCCCTGGCGCTGGAGCTGGGGGTTGGGGCCGGACCCCGGTGGGCCTGGCCGAGGCTCGGACGCCCTTGGGCAGGGCTGGGCAGGGCGAGAAGGCGGGACAGCGCCGGAGCCGCGCTGGCAGCCCAGGGCCAGGAGCCTTGGTGTGCCGGGGCGCCGCGCTCCTCCTGTGGCGCCGGCCCTGCCCCGCGTCCCTGCCCGCGCCCGCCCTTCTCCTGGCCCGAAGGCGCCGCGGCAGCGGGGGGCCGGGCCGGGCCGGGTCGGGTGTGTCGGGGGCGGGCAGAGGCGTGGTCGCTGCCCCGGCGAGGGCCCGAGGCGTCGGGGCGGGCAGGAGCGGGCTGGTGTGCGGCTCCGCTGGGCTGGTGTGCGGCTCCCGCCGGGCCCGATGGCGGCCGGGCTGGGGCCGTGGCTCCTGGCCCTGGCCTTGGCCTTGTGTCGGGCAGGTGAGAGCCGGGCGGGGAGGGCGGCGAGGCCGTGTCCGTGTCCGTGTCCGGGGCTGGGGCTGCTCCGGCGGCGGGCGCGCTGTCGGCTGGCGCTGGGCTTGGGCGGGGAAGCGGGGAGCGGGTGGAGTGGGCGGGAGAGAAAGGGAGAGGCCGTGTCCGTGTCCGTGTCCTTGTCCTTGTCCATGTCCTTATCCGGAGGAGTCTTTCGGGGCTTGAGTGGGTCCTTAGTGTGGGAGCAGGCGCGTGTGAGCGCCGAGGGGGCAGTCGGGGCCTTGTGGCGGGCGCGGGGCTTTGTCGGGAGAGAGGGGGGTGTGGGCTGTGGCTGTGGCGGGGCGGGGGGCGCCGTGTCGGCGGGGGAAGGTGCTGGGGCCGTGGGCGCGCCCTGCCCGGCTGCCTGCGCTCTCCGTCCGCAGGGGGGTGGGCGCAGCTGAGGCTGGTGGAGGCCGGCGGAGGGCTGCGAGCGCCCGGGGACTCCGTGCAACTCTCCTGCCGCGGATACGGCTTCACCTTCGGGAGTACTGCAGTGTGGTGGTACCGTGAGGCTCCCGGAGGCAGTCTCGAGTGGGTGGCTGCTATCAGCTATGATTCCAGCTATATTCAGTTTGGGAAGTCAGTGGAGGGTCGAGCCACAGTGTCTCGGGACAATTCCCGATCCGAGTCGTATCTGTCCCTGAGCTCCCTGAGCCCCCGTGACTCTGCCCGCTACTTCTGTGCTGTTCGCACGGAGACAGGAAATGGAGCTGAGCTTTAACAGAAACCTGCTGTGGCCCAGCCAGGCTTGCATTATCAAGCGATTATGGGGACACCTCTGAAATGTTCCAAGGATAGCGGGTCCATCACTGTGCTCCTCAGAAAGACATGGCCTTTCTACAAGAGCTCTTTTCCCAGCACTGTCAATTTCCATCTCCTGAGGCCAAAGTTCAATGTTTTATTCTGTGGAGGAGTTTTAGTGTGTTTCTGACACCCAACCAGCCTGGCCACTCTCCTTGCTTGTAGCCCCTCTCTGCCTTCCCTTGGTCCCCTTCCTCATTGGGACACCAAAAAACATTGGGCTGCAGTGACAGGAATGTCTCATGGGCCATTTCCTTGTGCCAGTGAGAGCAGAGCAGTGGGGACAGAGTTCTGCTTTTGTTTCAGGTACATTTCAGGGTGTTGAGATCCAAACGACGAGGTCTGCAGTGTGGTGGCAAGCAGGGACGTCGGGGACCTTGCGATGTACTTACAGCTCCAACGCCTCCTATCTTTACGTGGCCTGGTATAGGCAGCGTCCCGGTAGCCCCCTGCAGTATTTGCTGCAGAGTAAGGGCCGGGGAGGCTCCTACAGCCACACGTCCCCTTTTGCCCGCAAGAGGTTTTCCTGCCAGGCTGACAAGAGCTCTGGGACCCTGATGATCACTGGGCTGGAGCTGGGGGACAGTGGGCTCTATTACTGCGCCCTGCAGGGACCACAGTGAGAGACGCTTGGGTTGTGCCTGATCAACATCAGCTTCCTCCCCTCCTGCTGTCACCTCCTGCAAGTTCACAGGGGTCACAGCCCATCTTGGGGATGTGTCCGTGAGTGAGCTGTGCTTGGGGTCAGAGAGAGGGGAATCTCCTCATGACTGGGTGCTGTCACTGATCCAGAGCTCTAGGAAACCTGAGAATAGATGTGTGGGCCAGGGAGGAGCTGGGGAGAGGTGAGGTTGGAAGGGTCCTTCAGAAGTCATGTGTGCCGTGCCTACTGAAGCAGGGCCACATGGAGCCAGTTGCTAAGGCCTATGTGCAGACACCTGTTGAATGTCTCCAAGCATGGAGAATCCATAAGCTGCCTGGGCAATCTGTGCCAGTGCTCGCTCACTCTCACAAGTGTTTTCTGCTGTTCAGAGGAACCCACCTGTTATTTCATTTGTGCCCATTGATCCTTGTCCTTTCTGTGTGAAGCACGGAGGAAAGCCTGGCAGAGTCTTCTCTTCAGGTATTTGTGTATGTTTAGGAGATCCTCCACAAGCCTTCGTTTCTGTGGGGTAAACTGTTCCACCTCTCACAGTGGTGGAGAGATGGAGATGCTCCAGTGCCTTTGTCATCTTCATGGCCCTTTGCCAGATTCTCCGAGTACGTCAGCTTGAGCTATTGCTGCCTGTTCATCCTTGTCTCCTGGGGTTGCAGGCACCCTTTCTCAGGTGCAGATGGAGGCCTCTGGCCCCATTGTAGGGAAGGTCTCAGAATCTCTCGCTCTTACTTGCCACATCTCTGGTGTACCCATCACCAACAGCAACTACGCTTGGGACTGGATCCATCAGACTCCTGTCAGAGACCTGCAGCATATAGCGTTGCTGTATCCTTTCACAGGACTCCAGCACATTGCTTCATCCCTCCAGACCCAAGGACCAGCTCTGCAGACCCTTCCAGGAACCAGCTGTTGCTGGAAGTGCTCTCGCCATCATCTGCAGACACGGCCACCTCTTTCTGCAGCACCCGGGAGCTGGAGAAGGACCCAGTTCTTGAAAGACAGGCAGGGCCGGGGCAGAAAAGGAAGGAGGTGGGTTAAATCCAGGCAGGTCTTTTGTGGTGTTCTGCAAGAAGGCTTCTCAAGAGTTGTCTGGGCTGGCTTTTCCCAGAAACAGACTGCTGAAGCAGCATCAGTCTCCTATGAACACACATAAAAACCATGAACATGTTTTTGTTAAACTTTCCCCTCCTGCTCTTCCTTCCTTTCCTTCCCTCTATCCAAATCAGAAAGTCAAAGGGAAGAGATTGTTTCCAGAAGCAGCACAGTGAGTGAACCTGGAAAGCTGGAGTTAAATGAAGTTGTGAAAATTCATATTGTTCAGGGAGCCCCAGAGAAGAGCATCAGATGAAGCTGAGCAGCAGAGCATCTTTTTCCTTGGACATAATGAATAGTCTTTTTGTTGTGCCATAAGTGTGTGCTGCTTAGGGAGACTGAGAGGCCATTGCATGGGAAGAGGCAGCTGGAGAAGTTGAGCACCAGGGAATGAGGGAGGAGTAGGGTGCGTGGCAAGAGTCAAGGGAGCAGGGGGGGTGCACATCTGCCTAAGGGTGATGTGTCCACAGAGCAGAGCTGAGCTCAGGGACTCCCATTTGAGAGGAATAGTTCAGCAGCACCAAAGGACAAGGCTTCACAGGGAAGACAACCTGCCATGCCCACAGTCAGCTCCAAAATCCCCGCAGCACCCTTCTGTCCTTCCTCAGAAGAAGATTGTGGATGGTCCTAAATCAACACATCACTTTTTGTGCAACAGAGATATTAATGCGAAACGGGTGCTCTGGTATTGCACCCTGCAGGGTGAGACACACCTGGGAAGGCACCAACAGCTTCAGCTTCTTCTGCTCCTCCAGCCCCCACCTTTCTTCTGCAGAGCTGTGCTGGCCACTTGCAACCTTGACATGTCCCCTGGCTCTACCTCCCCACCCATCCCTGCAGAGCGCAGTGAGAACAGCCCTTCTCTGCTTCTAGCTGTGGGTCAGGCACCTCTGTCCAGCCTGGCTCCTTCTTTGAAGAGCGGGGACAAGCAGGACACCAACCTGGTACCCCCCAAGCTTGGGGCCTAACAGTTTGTGCTTGGACTGGCACTCTGGTCATGGGCACAGCAACCCATCTTGCAAAGACCACGTTGAAGATGGCAGCAGAGGGTCTATGTCCCACTTGCCTGTGAGACATAATTGTCATGGTTCTGGCTGGATTGACCAATCAGAATGACAGATGGCCCCTCCCTCCGCCTTCTAAGAAAAAGAGAGGAGAGGAAGAGATAAAGAGATTTATGACCTTAGAAAAAACTAAACTACTCTAATGAAAATATTAATAAAGAATGAATTGATAAATAATAATAAGAAATTTTTTGAAAAGGATAAGCATACAGTATATACAAAACCTTATCAAGCTCCCAGGTGATGATCAAGTCACCAGCAGGCACAGGGAAAAGTTCCAGACTGGACTCGGTGATGGACAGGAACTGGATTCCGGATCTGGAGTCAGGAATGCTTGGATTGGTATCAAAGGCAGATGAACAGACAGGGTTGTCCTTGGACGTCAGCCACTGAAGAAAGAGAGTTGACCCTTTGATCCCTCAGCTTGTATACTGAGCATGACGCAGATGGGATGGAGTACCCTATTGATCAGTTTTGGGTCACCTGTCCTGTCCACTCCTCCCTGCAGGTGTGACCCCTCTACACTTTTCTGCTTCTGACCCTCCAATGGGGCAAATAGCGAAGTTACCTGACCTTGGTTGTTATAGCAATGAGTATAAGCAAGGGCCTCTCTGCACACCATTCCTTGGTATAATCAGGTCTTATCAATGTGAGAGTGAACAGTTTCTGAACAATATGCTGTTGATTTAAAAATTTAGTCAGTTAGACGAGGCCCAGCTAAAAAAAAAAAGTCAAATTACTGAACAGAAAATTAGTTCTGTTTTACCTCAAACCAGGACAATGAATTTCCCTCCTATGTGCATTCAGACCAGTTTAAGGAACAGGAGAGTGAGTTCCTCACCATCCCACCACAGCAAAGACAAACGGCTTTGTTCCCCATGGTGCAAACCCTTCCTGCTTTGGATGTGAAAAATCAGAAAAAGCTCCTTGTCTAGGGGGAAAAAGGGGGGAGCGAAATATCGCGCCTCCTTCCTTGTGATCCCTGATGCCTGGTACCATCTTGGTTCCTCTGCCCATCTTAATCAGCCGGGTTCAAAGAGTAAAATCCTGTTTCTGGAAGTCATCAGGAGAGTAGCTGTGAAAGGCAAGATGCTCCATGCAATACCACTTGCATGAGCACAACCTGAGAGTCTGAGCTTTTAGTTCAGGGTGGATGTGACCTGAAGACTCAACCTAAGCCAGCTCTTCCTGGCTCAGAACACCCCACACCAACAACAAAAGAGTAGATTTCCCACCTGCACGGGATGTGGGCTTCACAGCATGAAGATTCCTACCCCACTGACCATAGGTCTGTACCACCTCCACAGGACAAGCATGTACTGATCCTGGTGCAGCCCAGGATACCATTAGCCCTCTTTGCCACAAGGGCCTATTGCTGGCTCGTGGTCAAGTTGTCCACCAGAACCATGGGGTTCTTTTGTGAGAATGTGCTTCCCTGCTGAGCAGCACCCAGCCTGGCCTAGTGCAGGGAGTTGTTCCTCCCCAGATGTAGGACTTTGCTCTTCCCCTTCTAGAACTGTATGGGGTTCCTGTCAGCCCTCTTCGCCAGCCTATTGAGGTCCTTCTGGATGGCAGCACAGTCCTCTGTGTGACTGGTCTCCGCTGGCAGGGACTGGGTGTGAGGCCAGGGTGGGCTGGGGGTGCGGAGCCTGGGGAGTGTCCTGCAAGGGGACGCCACGGGACAACAGCCTGGCCCAAGCAATATCCCTGGCCGAGGCTTGTACCCCCTTTCGCAGGGCGAGAAGGTGGGGCAGTGCTGGAGCTGTGCTGGCAGCCCAGGGACAGAAGCAGTGGTGGGTGGCTTGTATGGATCTGATCAGTGTGAAATAAACAAGGTGTGATGGGTTGACCTTGGCTGTCCACCAGGTGTCCACTCTGTCAGTCTCCCTCTACTGGACAGGCTGCAAAACATCCATTGCAAGGCTCTTGGGTCAAGAAATGGACCAGGAGGTGACCCAGCAATTACCGTCACAGGGCAAACAGACTCAGTTTGAGCAAACAAATTTAATTTATGATCGATTGGATCAAAGTTGGGAAATGAGAAATAAGAACAAATCTAAAACCCCTCCAGCCATGGGTCCTTTCCATGGGGTGCAGTTCTTAATGAACAGATTGCGTCAGGGTGGGTCCCCAGTGGGGCACAGGTTCTGCTAGAAAACCGGCTCCAGTGTGGGCTTCTCTCCACAGGACCGCAGTTCCTACCAGGAGCCTGCTCTAGCGTGAGCTGTCCCCAGGGTCACAGCTGCCTTCAGGGTACATTCACCTGCTCTGGTGTGGGGTTCTCCTCGGGCTGCAAGGTGGAAATCTGCTCCGCTGTTAAACTTCGTGGACTGTAGGGGGCAACCTCTATCACCACGATGTTCACCAGAGGCTGGAGGGGAATCTCTGCCCCAGGGTCGGGAGCACCCCCTCCCCCTCCTTCCTCCCTGACAGGCTGTTCCATGCCATATCTAGGGCTCGTGGCTGGTACATCTGGAGTGGCTCATGGCCATGGTCCATGGGTTGAAATTGTCGATCTCAAGGAACTTGCTGGACACCAGTTGCTGAGGTCAGTTCTGATCCCATCACTGCTGCATGTGACTCTATTTCATCAAAGTTTATCTGTCCTCAGTCTGGGTGATTGTTACTGTCACACAATTGGTAGCAATGATAGTAATGATGACAGACAGTGGCAGGGGTATTTAGCAATTAACATCCTACAATTGGCTATTCTCACCTGAAATCAGATCCCCATGAGGTACACATCGGACCTCCCCATCCTTTCACATCACCCAGCAATTGCACCCAGGTCCTTGAGCAAAAGCAATGCCATGGATGGGTTTGCCTTTGCCTGAGGTGGGACTAACCGAGAATGTCTTCCCCAACATGTTCTTCATGTGCGCTATGGGGACTTTGTCTCCTTTTACAGTAAGTGGAAGTTCTGTTTGGGCAGGGCCAGGTTGCTTGGTAGACCCCCTGGTGTTGACTAACCAGGTAGCTTTTGCTAAATGTGTATCCCAGTGTTTGAAGTTCCCACGACCTTCAAAGCTTTGAAATGGTCAGTTTTCTCATTCCACAATGTCTAGAGCCAGCTGGATGGCTTTCAGCTCTGAGAACTGGTTTGATTCACCTTGTCCTTCAGTGGCTTCTACAACTGATTATGATCTTTTTCTCAGTTGGAGTACAGCTGACTTGGAATCCTCTGTATGCCTGACTCCTAAACCCTACAGGTTGACCTGGTGCTTTCTTCCAGAGGATCCAGGTAGGGCCATTCTCCCCGACCCACAAGAGGCCTCCCAGAAGCAACCAGTCTACTGGTCCAAAGGGGACACATGTTATTCCTCATCCTTCAAAGCCAGGCTCTGGGTTTGTGTACGTGCTTGTACAACCTCACCACATGTGCAGTACCTGTATCTGCAGCTTTACAGAAGAACCATAAGATCTAACAGAAGATATAACGCTATAAAACCAGCAAACATACCCATGCTGAATAGCTCTCCCAAACCCTCTGTGTGCTACACTTGGACCCAGCTATATGACTTCTGTATCACTTTCATATTTCTCTCTTGACTTCCAGGTTTGAAGCTCGCAGCCAACAGAGGACAGCGAGTTTTGCTCAAAATTGCTGTAAAAAGCTGTTTGTGGTATCATCAGGGGAGTAGAAAAGTCTGAATTTCAGTTTTGCTCTTTGCCATCCCAAGAAAACATTACCCTCCTTTGCTTAAACAGTAAATTTCTGGTGAAGTTGTCCACCACAACCACTGGGTCCTTCACTGACAATGTGCTTCCCTGCAGGGCAGCCCCCAGCCTGGCCTGGTGCAGGGGGCTGTTCCTCCCCAGGTACAGGATATTGCTCTACCCTTGTAGAACTCTATGGTGTTCCTGTCAGCCCACTTCTCCAGCCTGTCGAGGTTCCTCTGGATGGCACCACAGTCCTCTGCGTGTCTGGTCCCCGCCGGGCAAGGGCTGGGAGTGAGGCCAGGGCGGGCTGGGGGTGCGGGCCCGGGAGGGTCCTACGAGGGGACGTTGTGGACGCACAGGCCGGAACCGGCGCTGGCCCCCGCTGCGCCTGGTCGAGACTTGGACCCCTTGGGCAGGGCTGGGCAGGGCGAGAAGGCGGGACAGCGCCGGAGCCGCGCTGGCAGCCCAGGGCCAGGAGCCTTGGTGTGCCGGGGCGCCGCGCTCCTCCTGTGGCGCCGGCCCTGCCCCGCGTCCCTGCCCGCGCCCGCCCTTCTCCTGGCCCCAAGGCGCCGCGGCAGCGGGGGGCCGGGCCGGGCCGGGGCGGGTGTGTTGGGGGCGGGCAGAGGCGTGGTCGCTGCCCCGGCGAGGGCCCGAGGCGTCGGGGCGGGCAGGAGCGGGCTGGTGTGCGGCTCCGCTGGGCTGGTGTGCGGCTCTTGCAGGGCCCGATGGCGGCCGGGCTGGGGCCGTGGCTCCTGGCCCTGGCCTTGGCCTTGTGTCGGGCAGGTGAGAGCCGGGCGGGGAGGGCGGCGAGGCCGGGGCCGGGCCCGGGGCTGTTCCGGCGGCGGGCGCGCTGTCGGCTGGCGCTGGGCTTGGGCGGGGAAGCGGGAAGCGGGAAGCGGGTGGGCGGGAGAGAGAGGGAGAGGCCGTGTCCGTGTCCTTGTCCTTGTCCATGTCCTTATCCGGAGGAGTCTTTCGGGTCTTGGGTGGGTCCTTAGTGTGGGAGCAGGCGCGTGTGAGCGCCGAGGGGGCAGTCGGGGCCTTGTGGCGGGCGCGGGGCTTTGTCGGGAGAGAGGGGGGTGTGGGCTGTGGCTGTGGCGGGGCGGGGGGCGCCGTGTCGGCGGGGGAAGGTGCTGGGGCCGTGGGCGCGCCCTGCCCGGCTGCCTGCGCTCTCCGTCCGCAGGGGTGTGGGCGCAGCTGAGGCTGGTGGAGGCCGGCGGAGGGCTGCGAGCGCCCGGGGACTCCGTGCTCCTCACCTGCCGCGGATCCGACTTCAATTTCGGGAACTATATCCTTTTGTGGTACCGTGAGGCTCCCGGTAGCAGACCCGTGTGGTTGTCCTTCATCAGCAGCCTCTCTGGTGTTATAAAGCATTATGCGGCAGAGGTGCAGGGTCGAGCCACAGTGTCCCGGAACAATTCCCAGTCCGAGTCATCCCTGTCCCTGCACGCCCTGCGCCTGCAGGACTCTGCCCGCTACTTTTGTGCTGTTCACACAGAGACAGGAAATCCATCTGAGCTTTAACAGAAACCTCCTGGCAGGGTCCCAGCTCAGGGTCCCAGCCCAGGGATGTTGTGGAGTAGACGAAGCCATTGCTTGATCTGTTCCTGCCTCTTCCTCTTTGTCTCCTGGCCCTTTCTCAGATGTTAATACTTCTGGCCTGATGGCAAGAAAGGTCACGCTTACCAGGTGAAATGTCCTGGGTTTAGTGACACTTACTTTTCTTCTATTTCGGGGAAAACTGTACTTTTAGAAGACTCTAGTGTCTGAATTAATGAAAATATTAAAGCCATCCAGGCTCTGTGGGATTCAAGGTCTCAGTGTTTTTGAGCCTTGCCAGGTGCAGGGACAGGGAGCAGCGAGGCCTGGGCATTTGACCCAGACTGACCAACATGATTATTTCATACCATAATCATCACATTCAATATAAATTAGAAAAGTTGGCTGCGTAGTTCTCACTCCCTTGATGGCAGCGGTCCAGAGAACTCTTTGCCTTGGTGCCAGACCCCTGACGCCTTCCTTTCCTTTCCATTGCGATTGCAGTGTCAGACTTTTGCTGGCCACTGCTGGGAGTGCACAGCTTCCTACTGATACAATTGGCTGAGCATAATTCTTGTATATCAGATATCTTATATCAGTATTGAATAGAATAATTGTCTAAATGACAATAAATTGTTATGGGATTTCTCAAACCATAACACTGGCACAGATCCGAGTGTCCCAGGGCACCTTGGGTTCCCCTGGCCCTGCATCCCCCTTCTTGTTTTCCCAGACTCAAACTTTCGGTTTGAATGGGTTGCTCTACCCTCTGCGGCTCCTTTTTCCACCACTCTTCCTGGATCTCCTGCCAGGGAGCCTTGTTGGAGCACCCATGAAAAGAGAAGGGAGGGGAAGGATTTTGACAGTGTGTGGAGGGGCAGTGTAGATGGCCATTGTGGAGTGGCTCATGTTCCCCAAACATGGCGGTACCCATCAAAATGGTAACACTGTGTCAGGGCTCCAGATATGTCTCATCATGTGGCTGGTGCTAGGGGAAGCTCTGGCTTCCTTCTGTGTAGGATGAGAATGGAGAAGGCCATTTCCCTGCTCTCCTGAGGAGCTCCAACAGCCTGCTCCCTGCTGAGTCCTGCGCACATGAGTTTTGGAGGATGAGCTGGAGTGCTTGAACCTGCACATGTGCCCCAGAGCTTCAGTGCCAAGCATATCCTGGATCTCCCCTGCCCCTTGCTGCTTTGACACTTGGGGGCATCTAGGAAGGCTTTGATGGGAATAGGCAGCTGGAGACGTGTCAGCACAAAGGAGTGAGTGGAGGAGTAGGGTGCTGGGCCAGAGTGGAGGAAACAGAAAATGGAGCATTTCTGCCCAACGATGCCCAGTGAAAGCAAAGCTGTGCTCAGGGGCTCACGTGCCAGAGCAGCACAGGAGCACCAAAGAACAAGAACCCCATAGGAGGACAACCTGACGTCCCCAGGCTTTGAGAGAAAAGTGGAGAGTGGCTCTACAGCAACATGTCACGTTTTGCCCACCAGAGGTTTTCCTGCCAAACGACCACACTGCAACACATCTTGGAAAGACCAGGTTGAGGATGGCAACAGAGGATCCAAGTCACACTTGCCTGTGAGAAGTCCTTGTCTGTCCTGTGTGCATTCAGAGCAGGATCAAGGACAGGAGAGTGGGTTCCTCACCATCCCATCACAGGAAGGACAAAGGTATTTGTCCCACATGATGCAAAACCTTCTTGATTCGGATATGAAAAATTGGAAAAAAGCTCCTTGTCGAAGGGGAAAAAGGGGGGGACTGAAATATGGTGACTCTTTCCTTGTGAGCCCTGATTCCAGCCACCATCTTGGTTCCTCTGCCCCTCTTAGCTGGATTCAAAGAGTAAAAACCTGTTTCTGGAAGTCATCGGGAAAGTGGCTGTGAAAGGCAAGATGCTCACTGCAACATCGCTTGCATGAACACTATCCCTGACCCTTCCTGAATATTGGAGTGATCATGGCGTGTTCTTCCTCACTGCAGCAGTCACTGGCCAGGTGGCCTTGGAGCAACACGTCAGGGAGCTGACCGTGTGAGAGGGAAATGGAGTCACCTTCCAGTGCAGCATGAGTGGGGGCAGTATGAGCAGCTACTACATGTACTGGTACCGGCAGGGACCAAGTGGCTCTCTGGAATGGATTTACCGGGAAGGTGATGCCTATGGAGAAGGTTTCAAGGATCGGTTTAAGGGATCAGTGGAGAGCTTCCAGAACAGATTCACCCTGCAGATCCAGGCAGCAAAGCAAGGGGATGAAGCAGTGTATTTCTGTGATGCCAGGCTCACCCTGGAGCAGCCCTGCAGCAGAGTGGACCCAAAACTGACTGAGATCAGAGACTTCTCAGCATTCCTTTCCAGCAGGTGCCAACAGAGGTTGGTGTCACGCAGTGGCAGGTGCAGGAAACAGAGCTTTGGTGTGCTTGCAGTAAAAGGCGGTGGAGGGAAGTGTGGGTGAAGGTCTGAGACCGTTTATGATGCAGGAGGATCTATAGTGGGAACTCCAGAGACTGTATAGTGAAGTGCAGGTTATTGCATGTTGCCTGGGCTGATGTCCAAGATGGCTCAGTTTTTCCTCTGTGACTTCATTATAGAGCTGTGGGATGATGGAGATGTGGTGCGGTAGCTCACAGGAGTAGCATTGTGGATGAAGCCAGGCTGTTTAGGAAAGAGAGATCGTAGCTCAGCATGCGTGAGATTGTGGTGAGTGGCTTCTATGGATCTGATCAGTGTGAAATAAACAAGGTGTGTTGAGTTGACCTTGGCTGTCCACCAGGTGTCCACCAAGGCACTCTGTCAGTCTCCCTCTACTTGACAGGGTGCAAAACATCCATTGCAAGGCTCTTGGGTCAAGAAATGGACCAGGAGGTGACCCAGCAATTACTGTCACAGGGCAAACAGACTCAGTTTGTGTAAACAAATTTAATTTATGATCAATTGGATCAGAGTTGGGAAATGAGAACTAAGAACAAATCTAAAACCACCTTCCCACCATTGTACCCTTCCTCCTGATCTCAACTTCACTGCAGGCTTCTCTACCTCTTCCGTCCGAGCAGCACAGGGGGATGGGGAAAGGGGGTTTTGGTCAGTTCATACCACCTCGTTTCAACCCCTGCTTCCTCCTCACGCTCTTCCCCTGCTCCAGTGTGGAGTCTCACCCTCGAGACAGAGCTCTTATGAACCTCATCAGCCATGGGTCCTTTCCATGGGGTGCAGTTCTTAATGAACAGGTTGCTTCAGGCTGGGTCCCCTGTGGGGCACAGGTTCTGCTAGAAAAGCAATTCCAGCGTGGGCTTCTCTCCACAGGACTGCAGCTCCTACCAGGAACCTGCTCTAGCATGAGCTCTCCACAGGGTCACAGCTCCCTACAGGGCGCACCCACCTGCTCTGGTGTGGGGTTCTCCTCAGACTGCAGGGTGGAAATTTGCTCCGCTGTTAAACTCCATGGGTTGTAGGAGGCAATCTGTATCACCACGATGTTCACCACAGGCTGGAGGGGAATCTCTGCCCCAGGGCCTGGAGCACCTCCTCCCCCTCCTTCCTCCCTGACAGGCAGCATGGGTTTGTGATGTGGAAATCATGCTTAATCCAAATTAAAGCCTTCTACAAGGAGACTGGTCTTCATGGATGAGGAGAGAGTGGAGGTTGTGCATTCTGAACTTAGTTACACTTTCAGCTCTCATTACCCTGGAAACATCAGAGACTAAGCTCTTTCCTATGGACTAGAGAAGTGCTCAATGAAATGGGCTGTGCACGTTCCTTGCTCCAGCCTTTCCCCCTGGACCTGGGATTCCTGAAGTACGTTTTTGCTTGTAAAGACTGAGGCAAATAATTGTCATGGTTTAGCCCCAGCCAGTACCAAAGAAAACACATTGTCTTTTTACTCACTGCTCCCCGCCGCTTACCCAGAGACAGCAGGAGAATCAGAAGAATAAGTCAAATCTCATGGGTTGTGATAAAGGCAGTTTAACAGAACAGCGAAGGAGAGAGGAAAACACCACCAGTAATACTGATAGGGGAATATACAAAATACAATCAATGTGCAAATGCTCATCGACATGCCCCCTGCCCCAGCCAGCTCCCTGGCTCTAGACTGAGCATGGTGTCACGTGGTATCCAGTACCCCTTTGGCTAGTCTGGGTCAGGGAAAGTGGCTTTGTCCCATCCCAGCTCCTTGGGAATACTAATGCTACATTGGCTAGAACCAGGACATTCTCCACGCGTTATTCTGTACCATCTACATGATCGCAAGATCTCACACTTTCCAGTGAATTGCCACCATTTTCCCCTGTCTTTGCTATATACATAAATATCCACACAGATCTCATTCCTTCAGCCTATGGGCCATCCCTCTAAAATGTCTTTTGAGTTCATTTAATCCATGACTCTGAGTTCCATGTGTTAGCACAGTCTCTCAGGGCAGGAGGGACGGTGTGTGGTGCTGGACTGTTCCATGCCGTATCTAGGGCTTGTGGCTGGTGCATCTGGAGTGGCTCATGGCCATGGTCCATGGGTTGAAATTGTCGATCTTGAGGAACTTGCTGGACACCAGTTGCTGAGGTCAGTTCTGATCCCATCACTGCTGCATGTTACTCTATTTCATCAAACTTTATCTGTCCTCAGTCTGGGTGATTGTTACTGTCATACAATTGGTAGCAATGATAGTAATGATGACAGACAGTGGCAAGGGTATTTAGCAATTAACATCCTACAATTGGCTATTCTCACCTGAAATCAGATCCCCATGAGGTACACATCGGACCTCCCCATCCTTCCACATCACCCAGCAAGTGCACCCAGGTCCTTGAGCAAAAGCAATGCCATGGATGGGTTTGCCTTTGCCTGAGGTGGGACTAACCCAGACTGTCTTCCCCAACATGTTCTTCATGTGCACTATGGGGACTTTGTCTCCTTTTACAGTAAGTGGAAGTTTTGATTGGGTGGGGCCAGTTTGCTTCGTAGACCCTCTGGTGTTGACTAACCAGGTAGCTTTTGCAAAATGTGTATCCCAGTGCTGGAAGTTCCCACCACCTTCAAACCTTCAAACTGGTCCGTTTTCTCATTCCACGATGTCTAGAGGCAGCTGGATGGCTTTCAGCTCTGAGAACTGGTTCGATTCACCTTGTCCTTCAGTGGCTTCTACAACTGATTGTGTAGGACTCCACACAGCAGCATTCCGCTTTCTGTGCTTTCCCAGCAGTGGGTAGGGCGTATTTCTTCTCAGTTTCTGGATGCTCTTCCACACTTTGGACATCCAGCCCAGCACTGGCGTTTGAGGTGCTAAGAGGAGCTGTGCTTCTGTACTAAATTCTGAAGCAGCTCAAACCCCTTCATGTGCTGCCAGTATCTTTTTCTCTGTTGGAGTACAGCTGACTTGGGATCCTCTGTATCCCTGACTCCTAAACCCTACAGGCTGACCTGTTGCTTTCTTCCAGGGGATCCAGATAGGGCCATTCTCCCTGACACACAAGAGGCCTCCCAGAAGCAACCAGTCAACTGGTCCAAAGGGGACACATGTTATTCCTCATCCTTCCAAAGCCAGGTACAACCTCATCACATGTGCAGTACCTGTATCTGCAGCTTTACAGAAGAACCATAAGATCTAACAGAAGACATAACGCCATAAAAATAGCGAACGTACCCAAGCTGAATAGCTCTCCCAAGCCCTCTGTGTGCTACAGTTTGACCCACGCATATGACTTGTGTATCACTTTCATATTTCTCTCTTGATTTCCAGGTTTGAAGCTTGTAGCCAAAAGAGGACAGTGAGTTTTCCTCAACATTCATGTAAAAAGCTGTTTTTTACAGCGAAGTCTGAGTTTCAGTTTTGCTCTTAGCTCTGGTACATGTCACCTGCAAAGACCAGAATGTGCCGTCCCAGGAAAACATTACCCTCCTTTGCTTAAAGAGCAAATTTCTGGTGAAGTTGTCCACCACAACCACTGGGTCCTTTACTGACAATGCGCTTCCTTGCAGGGCAGCCCCCAGCCTGGCCTGGTGCAGGGGGCTGTTCCTCCCCAGGTACAGGATATTGCTCTACCCTTGTAGAACTCTA